GCTTAAAATAGGAAAATTCAGAGGGTGGGAATATTCAGTGACAACTGTTTAACACTCAGCCTGTCCCTGCCATCCAGAACGCAGCTATTTGAGGTGTGTGTGAAGGTCTCTATCTATCTTCCCAAAGAGTGATTCGCAGGGATTATTTATAAAAGCTCTGAGAAGGTACATTTTGATGGAAGAGTATTTGAATGCAATATCTAAGATACACTCTAAGTATTACATTCATCATACACAAAATCAGAGAACTTTTTATAGGCATTTGATAACCTGGAATAAGCAAAGTAATGATGGTTCATTCACAGAATCTGAAGTAGGCTGTTGCTCATGAAAGCTTATAGTTTCGGAAAGAGTTAGTCTTTAAGGTGCCACCCTGCCCAGCTTTCTGCCTGACTTCAGACTAACACAGCTAACTCCCTCTCTCAAATAACTTAAAGTGCATGGAAGAATCAATCAGAATGGACTTGGCCAACATGAACAATGTAAGTGCATGGATATGATTCCAGTGGAGAACCAAAGACCTTTTAAAATCTACTCAAGTAACAGATGGAATAAGCAGGGGGGGGGGGGTGTTCCCCACCAAATCCTCACATATATTATCAATATCGACGAATGTCCTTGTAAGAAAAAAGTTGGTTTACATGAATAAATAAATTTAGAAGCAGATCTCTTTCTTTTCTATGACACCAAGTTTATCGAATTTGCTTAGCAAGCTATTTCTTTGTATTCTTGGCCCAAGTATTATTTCACTTCAATATACTGAGGTTATGTTGTTCTAAACTCCTTCTGCTTACACAGAACAATGAATTCAGAATTTAAGCAAGAAATATCAAATGACTGCTACATAAAGCAAGCTTACCCATGCAGCTGAAATGAAAAACCAGTGCTACCTCTCTACCAGAGTATGCTCAAAAATCAAAGATGCAGACATACAATCCGTTTTGCTAATCCATACTGTGGTATTATAGCTACATTTAGAAAAAACTAAAAATACATTTGCCCAAAATATATTACCATAACATACTAATATACACATTAATAAAAAGTTGATAAACTTTTATCTTTTATATCATCGGCAATTAAAAAAAAAAGATGATAGCAAAACTAACCATGGTAATAAATCTAAAACCACCCTCCTCCCCCACCCAAAACATGGCAACGTGCACGATCCTTTATTTAGGGACACGTGTATCCATTAAGGTTCCAAGCAGGAACTTTTGCAGTAGAATAAGGATGTTGACAACCATATAAAAAATTAGCTATGATCCACCGTTTAATAGTTGTCTTCTCACTGAACACTGCAGACTGAAGGACATATTGCCAAACGGGGAGCACCAAACTTCCTGTGACTTCACACAGGACAAATAAAAACATTCCGCATGTCCTCAATGTTGCGTGTCCTAATTTTTGTTACTGACCTCCTGCAACCACCCAATCTGGAGGGAGAAAAAAAAAGTTGCATGCAGCATCAAAACTAACTCCTCTCAGACATTCTGGGTGAGCTGATACACCTGCGGTTTTGCCCCTTGGTTTTGCAACCCAACTTCATATACAGTGCCCTTCAAATTGCCCCTCAAGGTCTCTGCCTGATACTCCTTGGGCAGCTCTCAGGATATTGGAATTCACCTCACGTGCACTTGCGATAACAAGAATTCCCAGGTCTATGGTCACAATGTTGATAGGTCACCCACGTGAGAAACATGAACTTTAACACAGTCTGCTTGAAAGACATAGGGACTAACTTTTAGGATGAATTCAAACTTTAGGTCCCTCAACACTGACAATATCTATGGTTGTAGTGCCAGGCACACAATTTTCTCGGAAGATTCAACACCTTAACTCTTAACCTGGATAAAACTCCAGAAACAATACATTATACAGAAAATTGCTACATGGTCTTAACTTTTTTTCAGCGACTATGAAAAGCTACAGCTTTGGGGTACATGGGTGTTTATACCCAAAAGCTTGCAAAGAAGAATTTTTTCAACTATTTTAGCTGGTCTAATAAAAGATATTAGATTTACTGAAGGAACTTTGCCTATGTCCTTAGACCAACATGGCTACAACCTATACCCCTGAAACAGAGTAGGAAACTTTCAAAAGTTAATAGTTTTGATCCATAAGAATCTACAAGTGTGTGATATCACCATGATGAGTGTAGGGATTATAAAAATCCTCCTGCAGGCCACACCAAGAGTTTAAAAAGAGCCCTGGCATCAGCTGCAAGATAGCAGATTGCCACTCAGCTTGAGAGGACCATTGCCCTGCCTGAGGGAGCATGGAGGCCTGTACACATGTCCTCAGGACCATCTAAAATTTCTAGTAATGCTGCTCCAGCTACCCAAAGTTTTGTTGCAAAATGTTTGCTTATGGCAGATGAGGATTTGAAGCTTCTCCATAACATGGTACACAGAAGAGAGGTTGTAACTGGATATTAACTGTAAAAGACAGACACAAAAAACCCAGCACATCCTGTGAATGACTGATTTTTAACTGCTCGACACCAATAATAATCAAGATCACTCTCTCGCCACGCTGAAGTAAATACTCCGTGTACTCTGTGACTTTACATTTTTAGTCCTCATTCCATTGTTGTAATTCTTCCATCTCCAACATTACTCCCAGAGAAAAACAGGCATTACAGCCCTAAAAAGAAGTTTGCAAAGTCAGCAAAATACCAGCAGGGCTTAATTTTCTGAGAAGCTAAGCACACAAAATTGTTCCCTGACTTCAAATAGAGTTGCAAAAATTCAGATTTTTTGCAAATGTGACTAGTGTCTACCATACATGTTGTCTTTTCCAAATGAAAGTGCCAGCCAACTCATCCACAAAAAACAAAACAAACTTTTTCAAGCATCAAACTTTACTACAGTATAAATTCAACCTGTAGCCAACCCTTCCATGCCTCCATGTGAAGCAGGATGGACAGCATCTCAGTAGTCACTTAGGAAGCGTTCCTAGAAATAGGAGCATGTGGTGTGTACTACACACTATTTTGCCCACAGCGTACTTGTTCAGAAGTTTTAAAATTATCTATAAAAGTTAAATAATCAATCTGCAGAAAATATATTATTTTGGTAGGCATTTACTGAAGCAAAGATACTCAGCTCATTTCTGTGCGGGTATGTAGACACACACCCAAAATAATGTAGGCACTACAAATATAATAATAATTTAGTTCCAAACCCTACAAACACCAACCCATATGAGCAACTTATGTACATGTGGAGACTACATGAGATAATTGGTTTGCAAAAGAATAAGCCATGTGTATTATATATTTACAGGATTTTCTGATTTAAGCCCCGTAAGAATGTCAACTTAGGAAGGGCAGACAAAGTAAATGTAAATTGCGTAATTCAGTCTAAGAAAAGTTTTACTGAAAGTTTAAAAACCATATGCAGCTCATGGTTTTGACCACTTATCCTCAGTCCATCCAGGTACACCTTATAAGAGGTCACAATGCTTTGAAATATCATGCTCTCTCTCAAGGGGAAAACAACTATGAAGTCACAAGTAAACTAGTACAGTACTTGGCACTTATATAACACCTTGTAACTTCAAAGCACCACACACACCAGTCATTATCTCACAAATGAAAACCCCCAAAACAGCATTTGTACAAACTCTCTTGGAAAAAAACTGTAAATAGAAGTTTGAAGGAAAATATTACACTTGTACAGCAAACAGACCTAATGATTTTAGGCATTTAGTCCTCCAAGTAGTACTGACACAAATCCAAATAAAAAAAAAAAAAATAAATCTAATTCATTTATATACTAAAAGCCAAAACACAAGTCCCAGTTACTGACATATTTAAGTCCCAGTTTGTCCCTTCCCTCTCCTCTTATGGAATGCATGCTAAATATTTCCCAAGTGATCTCAATAATAATTTGGGATGCTGGGTTCCCAAGACACTGGATTCCCAAAATACAATACCACATGAACCCTATTTTCATGGAGAGAAAGCCTGGCACTCCTTTAACCAACATAACTTAGTAAAACAGAGAGACCAGAGAGTCTCATATGGCCTGGGATTAAAAGTAAAATGCAAAACTATTATATTAAAACTTAACCAAAAAGAAAAAAAAGAAATCATCACAATAGGAAGCCACAAAAAACCTGCTACTATTATTTATACAGCAACAACAATGTGCTTGGCACATTCATCTTAACAGTGTCCCTCTCCCACCCCTTATGATTTTAAGATCTACAAACAATATGACACTTGCACAACTTTAAGCACATGCATAACAACCTTGCACAGGATCAACACATTTTATAAAATTTGTTCATGAGATTATTAACATGAATGGGTCCCAATCAAGGCCCCAATCTCACCATGAGTTTCACAAGGGCAGATCTCCAAGTCTGTGCTTAATTTGAAGCATAAGGAGGGCCTCAAACCTGCCAAACAGCCCTAAAACTTCAGACATTATTCAGAAGGCATACCTGAAATTTTGCAAATGGCACCTTCCTGCAGAATGGGCCCAAATCAAAGCCTGAGTCAGTATCCAATGAGCAAAAAGACATCAATAATAAAGCATCTCCATTGTGAAATGCTTTGTAACATCCTCAAGTATTTATTGTAATATCTCCATGACAGTAAAATGCTGTGCAGTCAAGCTCAGACCAATTTGTGTGTGTGACACAATTGCAGAATCCTCCTGACCACAAGTTTCTGCCTCCTCTCCTTTAATAACAAAGAATGAGCATGCTTTGCGAGCTCAACTATAAATCAGTTAATTTACTGATTTACACAGACAGGAAAATAAGGAAGTTGAGTACATTTGACAGTAGTGAGAAAAAAACAACAACAAACTGCAACAGCAAACTTCACACTGCAACCTACAGATCAAACTTTCTTAAAAAAAAAAGATTCACCTTGCTATCTCAAGCAACAAGAAAGCACAAAACACATACCAGGCTCTCACAAGAGACTTTTTTCTCTCATAAATTTTGCCTTCACAGGGAATATAGTGCCGAAAGATTCAACTCACCTGTAACAACTTTAATTTCTAAGTCCACCCCTTCATAAGCAAACTAAGAGACAGCACGCTTTGGTGTTACAACTGCTACACATGGTCGATCACCAACTCAGAGAGCCTCTCTCCATTTTAGGTGTAAAGATCTAGTGCACAGGACAAGCCTGCCTGCTTCATTTTGCTTTTTTTTTTTTGAATGATCAAGCTCAGGGGGGAAAAAAAAAAAACAACACAACACACTTACAGATAAAAAAAAAAAAGCAGAAACACTTCCATTTCCACAACTAGGGCCCACATCTTGCTTCTCCATGTGGCCCTTCCCGTCACCAAAAAGCTCCTCATGTGCCACCCCAAACTCAACAGGAGACTGCCACACACAGAAAACTTTGCCACTTCCCAGCTTCAAATCCAAATGATAAATACAAGAGGGTCCCCTCTCACACCCACCCAGGGCTGCAGAAACACAAAGGAAACCATTCCCTTGAACTTCCAAAGGGAAATGCACACAGCACAAGTGCCAAGAAAGGAAATTAAGGAGGGGGGGGGGGAAGAAGGGGAAGGGGAAAACAAACAACAAAACAATCACACACAGGAAAAAAAAGTGTGGACACAGGAGCACTCCCCTCCCCCACTCCACCATGAGTTCAGCCACAAGCACATTTTTACCCCATACAAAGGCACCAGAAACCCACTGCAAATAAATAAATAATTAAACACAGACCTAAGGTCACACTTTAGGGTGGCTTCCCCCCCTCCCCCCTCTTATTTTTTTTTTTAAATATGTGCACTGCAAAATAAACATTCAAATCGTACAAGATGCCTCTTCTTTACACCAATCAAGCTAAAAATAGGCTAGAAACCAGCCTGCCTCATGATGGCTCCTTGATTCAATTTGCAGCAAATTCTTCCCCCCCCCCCACCTTTCCCCACCCTTTATTTTAATATATATAAAACCCAAAAGGTTGGGGGGAGGGGGAGCCAAGGGTGGGAAAGGAGAAGAGGAAGGGGGTGTGTTGGGGAGGGGGGGGGCCCACAAAAGC